AACATTGCTGGAGAGCATCTGTTTATTGAGCGAGAAAATTTTGAAGTAAATTTCATTGTGGAATTCAGTTAGTCAAAGAATGACGGATCAATTGTGTTGTGTTTGTAGGTGTTGGATATGCGAAGAATCGAGCTGTGCGGCAGAGTACCGGTGAATATTTGTGTTTCTGTGATGCGGACGATGTGAGTTTGCCGACAAGAATTCACGTTCAAATCGATAGAATTTCATCGTGCTCTGATCCAAAAATGGCATTCATTGGAGCGTGTTTTCGACGAATCCCAGAAGAATCAACGCGACGCTTCACCAAATGGGCTAATTCGTTAACCGACTGTCAATTATATACTCAAGTTATTGCTCTTTTTAAGTTATTGATTCATATATTTTCTTTTTAGATATTCAGTATATTCGGTTATGTTTGTAAAAGAGAAGTGCAGTGTTTTCATTTTGGTTGATCGTAATTTTTAGTGTCTAGATGTCTTGTGATTATTTGCTGCACTAATGAGTATAAAACTTGTTTTTATTTCTTCGAATTTGAGAAGTTGTTTGAAAAAATTTTATGACGAATTCATTTCAAGAAGTTAAGAATTCGAGTTTGTAAATATGATAAATTATGTAAAATTTGTGATATGCATATATCAGAAACAGTAATTTGTAGCAAAAAACAGGCATATTGTTTCATTCACTGCAAATTTAGGTATTTACTTCTCACGGACCTACACTCGTCGCACCAACATGGTTGCTTTCGCGATATTTATTCGATTCGGTCGGTGGCTTCTATGAGGATCAAACCAACGGCTATCCTGAAGATTTGCGATTCTTTTACGATGCCTACAGAATTGGTGCTAAATTTATCCGGGTTATAATTGTTACTTCGCGGATTTTTTCTGAGTAGCTGACTTGTTTTCAGTTGATTCACTAACGAACTAATTTTATCGTTTGAATTCAGGTGGATGAATGTGTGGTACTCTATCGATATCATACGGAATGCACTTCATTCGGTGTGTCCGAAGAAGTAATTTGGCAAATGAGGGTGCAAGCTTTTGAGGAGTTCGTACTCTTAAAATGGAGCGCATTCACAATTTGGAGTGCTGGAAAACAAGGAAAACGTTTCTATCGGTTCGAATATTCTAATCTTTCTCTTCAGTTTCCTTCTTATGAGTTCGAAATCGTTTAAATGGTGTTATTTGTTGAGAAAATATTTATAGTAGGAATTGATCCATCGTAAATATTCTCACTAGACTTGTTTCTTCGTTCTGTATGTCGATGGAACGATTGAGTGTTCGCTCGTATATTTCCATTCATTTTTTGTTTCAGTTCACTGAAAGAGTGTAATCGTCGGAAAGTTATCGCATTTTGTGATGTTGATTCGAAAAAGATTGCGCGCGGTATTTATGAGCATTTTGATTCGTGTTCAAGGAGTATCACAGCCAGAATTCCTATCATCCCTCTCTGGTTTGTTATCGTTTATTTACTTCCTTTCAATTTTTATAAGCTTACACATTCACTATGATTGGAAAATTTCATGGTTCATCTTGAACCACATAAAATAATAGATCATGGGTCATAGAGCATAAAGCATAGCTTACTGATCACAGAATCTATTGAAAAAAGCATAATTTATCATAAGTCACAATCAGTAGATGACAGTATCATTGTTGCTAAGTTGTATGAGTTGCTAAGATCGCAGGCTTGTTGATATCGTCGTATTAGAATACTAGAATTGCAAACATCCACAATTATGAGTTTATTTTTGTATTTTACTTTATGAAATCTCACCATCCGTCAAAAATTCTGACCGATGATGAGCTACCTATCACGAGTTTTTTTTTTAACTTTTGAACCGTTGAAGTTATCAGATGCAAAGAGAATTTCTAATGTTGTATTTCCGTTTGGTTTCAGTGAAGCCAGAACGCCCGTAGCCATTTGCGTGAAACTCGATTTGACGCATGGTGCATTCGAGGCGTTACTTGATGGAATGCACTGGATCGAAGGTATCGATTATTACCATCTCAGCTGATCGCATCTTATCTTTTCCGTTACGGATTATCTCTTTCAACTCTGTTCTCTTGCTTGTTTCTGTAGGGCGAATCAAAGTGTTATTTATTATGTCTTAGCCAAAACAGTTAAGCAACTAGTCGGTCACAGGGAATATACTGGAACAATTGCATCTGTTTGATCATTTTAATTTCACTCTGTTTGATCAGTGAAACTTGTTTATGACATCGCTCGTAGTGGTCAATTTCTTTCTGTTATCATTACTCATCATTTGTGTGTGCATTTGTAACTCTCGTGCATTCTCATCCGTCATCAATGAACATTGAACTCGTACTATGTGCTCAACACACGTTTTGAACTGATTTTATCAATAGATTAGGAAGATAATTGTATATGAAAGGAGAGAGACACACACTTATAATGTTTGAGACATATAATTTGAATCGAAAGGTTTTAAGTGAGTGATTTTTTTCTTTTGAATTGTAATATTCGATCGAAAATTTGATTACTTCGAAGACGTTTGAAGTTCTTTCATTATTTGTATCTGTTTGTTTGATTTTTTATTCGGGTTTTCAGCAGTTTGTTTGTAAATAATGTTTATTTTGTTTTTGAGGGTTTGTGTTTGTTAATTGTTGTTTATATTTGTTTTGCATTTTTGTTTTGAAACTATAATAAACGATTCAAAATGTTTCGCTTCCGTATGAAAATCTTTAATAATAGATTTTATTGATCACACGTGGTATTTTAATCCATTACAGATGGTTGTATTTGTTGTAGTGAATAATTTTTTGATAAGATTTTTATTAATATAAATGAGTTTGTTGTGAGGCATGGAATTCTCTCACGATCAGTTTGTCTTCTGAACTCGACTTATTCAACTGGAAATTGGGAAGCATTTTTAAGTTGACGAAAAAGGCGAGCAGTTGTCTTTATTCAGTAGTGGTAAGGGGTAAAGAAAATTGTAGTATGGAGAGATAAATGAAGTAATGACGGATGAAGACTGCGCGAATAATCATAAAGTCATCATAACTTGAAAAATGAAGTGTTCACGTCAAAAGTTTAAAACCGTATGCTCAGGAGCAAGGCAAAGTAGTCCAGTTTAATATGATGGTAATTGATACAATTTCGTTTCACGACGTTTCGGCGAAGTTCGGAATTGTGAAAACGAATAGCAAATGAATGATTCCGAATTTGATCGGTATAACCAGACTTCTGAATTAACGAAAATAGATTCCACCGGAAGCAAATTTTCGTTTGCTTACTGTCGTCGGTTGTTTGCATTCATCATGTGTTTCACATTCAGTTTCGAGTCGTCTCGGCCTCAATACCATAGTGGTCTCAAATCATTGCGCATGTCAAGCTTATAAATGATAGCTGACTTTAATAGATCAGTTTTTAGCGATTGATCATTCTTATTTCGGCATTGTCGTTCCGAAATTTTATTTCGGTTGTTTATCTCATACATACTGATGAGTAGAATATTTTCATTTTAGGGTGCGACTTTAGCGAACCAAAAAAATGTTATGGTTACGAGTTGTTAGACCTTTGATCACAACAGGCGGCCACACCTTCAAGAGGGCATTATCGTCGAAAGCGCCGTTAGTAGATTTGTTACAGTTGATTCATGCTTGCATTTGAGTGTGTTTTGCAAACTTAATCAATAATGGAAATGATAATAAGAATAATGAATTTTCAGTGGCATTAAAGTGAAATTCGTGAGTGCTGAAGGCACGCACGAGGGTGTTGGTAATGTGGGCGATTCGTTGTTAGACGTAGTGGTGAACTCGGATTTGCCATTGGATGGATTCGGTGCATGTGAAGGGACGTTGGCTTGTTGTACGTGCCATGTTTGGCTCGATCAGAAACACTTCGATAGGTTCGTTTTGTGGGTTATTCAGTCTCTTTTATTCGTTTATTTCGTAGCTTGTGCCACCGTTATCCTTCTATGTTCACGCAAGAAACAATAACTTTTACGACAGTTATTCTTTCGAGCACTTCAATGAACATCACTGATGCTAAGTGTAATGATGTGTAATCAATATTTGTGCATGCGGAGGTAAATTTGGCTTGAAAACGTTCGGTGTGCAGTGTCATTATCACCTGCATTGGCCAGGCTATCAAACGTTTGTAACGTTGCTGGCCACAATGCTCGCGTTTCCGTGCACATTGTTTTAGCCTGAATTTTTGCCACCCCGCTGGCTAGGCGAGCAGGCCAACGGAACACAACCGAGTAATTAATCAGTTGCTGTGAATACTTTGCGTAATTAATCGTAGCCAAATATCAGTCCAATAGATAATTATAACTCTAATAAAATAAATATTCCGTCGATCTCTCACATCGATTAACAAAACAACCGCTCGATGTCCAAGTGTTACAAACGAAGTGGATTTCAGATTAGAACCACCCAACGAAGAGGAAACGGATATGCTTGATTTAGCGCCAGACCTAAGTGAGACCTCCCGTCTAGGATGTCAGGTTAAGCTGTCTGAAGAGGATCGACCTGAAATTACTGTTGAAGTGCCATCGATTGTACGAGATGCACGATTAGACTCTTGATTTCAGTTGATTTAATGACTGTTGTTTTGCGAGAATTGGCCTTTCACTGAACCTTTCGGCTTCACATTTCTAAAGAACATGCAAAGATGGGTTCTTATTTTCAGTTATTTTGGTGCATTTCGATGTTGTGTACCTCATTAAAATGGGGTATTTTAAATTTTGTAAACGCGCAAAAACGACAGTCATCGTTCATTAGTTTTGTGATTAATAGATAATGAAAGTATCATCGATTGTTTTTGCTAAATTCTATTTGATTTAATCTGATGTTACACTATCGTAATGTATTGTACTCTGCAATAATTTCATTCGTAATTTGTTCATTCTTCACGAATACTGAATGTTTGTCCTGCATATATGAGCAGATGTGTACGTTTGGAATTATAGTCCAGTGATTGATCAATACTATAAAGATGAGATAGCATTATCCTTTGTTTTTTGCCTTCAAAGTTGAGTTTAACGTGTTTTTTTCGACGAGTTTAAGAATTTCATAAAAACATTGCCATAGTTATGTGATTATAGGATTTCTTAGTAGGTCATGTCGTTTATGTTGATTCCAAATAGATAGTTTTTCTCGTTGTTTGGTCACAATAACTGGTGATGTGATTCTAAGTTCAGATTACAATCGTAACTGTCATTATTACTTGTGTTTATGAAGACGACACGAAGTGAATGACCCTGTATGGTATAAGCGCTGTTTCAGAGCTGATATGCTGCGTACCAGCTTATTTCGAGAGAGCTATATTTTTTTAACATCTTTACAAGATGTGTTTGTTCGTGTGATATTAGTCTTAGGGATCATTCATCTGTGCTTTCAAATTGTCATTACTTTCATGGATGGATTGATAGATGCCTCCAATAAGGAGATACGATTAAA